TATATATATATATATATCACAGGATATAGGATATAAAAATATATCAGTCAGCCCTACTGACCTACTAACACCAACTGAAAACCCAACAAATGGAGAGATACAGCGATGAGTAAGGCCCGACGTTGAGGCACAGTTGTTGTGGAAGTCGCAATATTAATCTCAGGTAGTGACGAGTGAAGCTTTCACTCTGAAACACAAAGCCATTAATAACAGCCTATCAATTGCTTTCTCTTTCTCTCGAACCAGAAGAGTGGCCTCTACGGGTACCGGAGCACATCATCAAAATAGCAGATGAGGCTGGCGGCAGCGGCGAGGGAAGCGATACACAGAGGCGCCAGATTTGTGATAATCATCATTCACTCTGTCCCTTTGCCTGTAGGCACTTTACATCAAAACAAATGACAACTGTATCTCATAGTGACATGTTAGTTTAAGCAAATGCATAGAAGACAGCTTATCAAAACCATTCCCGACAGAGAAACAGCCGTGTGCCGACGCTGATACCAGTGAGATTTGGGATAATGTGCACATTATTGCATTACTGTAACGGGTGAAGTCTGTTTTTCTACGTGATGTCTGTTTTTTTTTCCTTTTTAAATTATGAATAAATGTTTGATGAACAGCTTGGTGAACAGCTGGGTTGTATTTAGCAACAGGTGAGATGACCAATCTAGCAATTGAGAGAAGGCCGATGAATGCAAACCGCTTAAGGGACAACACAAAAGTATACAAATTACAAAACAAGAGATGCAAGAGATTTTATTTTCCATGGACTTCAGTCAGTGCGACATTAAAAAACCTGATTTGACATGTGAATTTCTAAGGCCTCTAAATTATCGACATGATCAAAACATTGCCGAAAAACCTGTTGTGCACAATCTATTATAGGCCTTGTGTCGTCTGATTGATAGCGAGATAAAAGGCCTTTTAATATAACTCGAAAAACGTTCCACTTCAGGTTATGGTTTTGCTATGAAATCTTCAATGATTCAAGTAACCACAAGAATAACTTTTATATTGTTAGTAATATTTCAAGATTAACATTTACTGAACTGAAGCAATAGGTTTACTTGATTAACTTAACATCATTTTTAGAATTTTTTTAAAAATGCGAGTATCAAATAAGATGCATCAGACTAGTTTATTTGTTCATTCATTATTGTTTTGCAATTCATTATAAGTTTTGACCACCACAATAAAAAAAACTACAGAGCTTTGATCATAAAACTAAGCATTTAAAATATCAAACTAAGACATATTATTAGGAGATATACAGTGACAACTGATATTTATAAGCATTTTCCGTAAGTAGTCTTATACTGTTGATTTACAGTACAAGCTATCGGAATTTCATCTAACTTTTGGCCATATAAATATTAGCAGCTGTATCAAATAGTATATATGCATCTTTTTACTCAGTTTGGGCCCCTGAATAAAACTAAGGTGGTTTTTCCTCCTCAAGTATGAGTTCCTATTCTCAATATACTGTATAATACTATATAAAAGACTGATGCATCATATTTATAACTTTTTATTTATAAATACTGTGTCTAAAGGTTCAGTAAACCATTCCATTAAAAAAAAAAAAAAAATGTATGCGCTATGGGCGTCCCGAGTTCGAATCCCGACTCGAGGACCTTTTCCGATCCTGCCCCCGTATCTCTCTCCCGCTTCACTTCCTGTTATCTCTGATTTGTCCTGTCATAATAAAGGCAAAAATACCAAAGAATAAATAAAAAAAAAATTTCATATTAGGCTTAACAGGGTTAGGTTAACCAAGTATTCTTCCTTTTCACTGATACACAATACTACATCAGACAAATGCGTACATGATTCAGAAACTTATTTTGATAAAAATGTGCATTTTTTCCCAAAACCTATTATGTTTTATCCTTCCTCTCTTTCTTTCCTAAATACTGACCTTATTTAGTTTCTTTCCAAGAACTTTACGCAGCTACAAGTCCATTTAAACCTCATTTCTGGAAATTAGAACGGCTATTAAAGTGTTTTTGACTGACAAACAAAATACTTTTAGCCGAAAATGGAGGTACTTATAACAACCCATATTTTGAAAATGATAAAATCATGAGTTTTTTTAAAACCTTCCATTTAAAAAATTTCAGGATTCTTCTGTCACATTGTGTTGTTAAGTGCTGATCTGTTGTAATTAGAGTAGGCACGTGTTTGTCCTTAATTTATTTGCTCCCTTAAGCCCAAAGTCGGAGACACTCATTAGGATAACGAATGGCAGCTTTGGAAAGAGGTCTCAGGACACAGAATTCTTCCCACTCCTACATGACTAGACGACTAATAAGTCTCATCATGGCTGCTCTCTGTGCACAAGGAGTTTTAAGAACAACACCATTTTTTAAAAATGTCAACCCACAAGGGCACTTATGCTAACAGATAGCCAGAATTACTTGTTTTTGTGCCATATAAACTCGGCAAGAGATTATTTAAAATGCAATTTAGTTCTTGGTGTGAATAAATTGAGGGAAGCGCACATATATAAAGCAGGTCATTTGAAGATTCTCCATGGTGTGAATTTTACGCAAGAATGCGATGAATGGCTTCATTTCACAGCTTCAGTATTATTAAAGGTCCACAGATTTTTTTTTTTTTTTTTTTACACCACACGTGTGGAATGAAATGAGCAAAGTGCTGCATTAAATCTCAGACTCTCCTCACATGCAGTGCAGAATGCATGTTTCACGTCTATGAGCAATAGAGTCCTTGGCTGAATTTGATCGCAGATTCATATTAAATGGGTGGCTGCGAGATGAAATGACACTTGGCACTTTATAAGCAGTGTGAAAAGTGAGGGACATTTCTTAACTACTCTTGACTCCGTGTGTTTCTCATACTGCATGCATACTTCAGATGAATAATTCAAGTGAAATTAAAAACCAAAGGTTCACATTAAAAATGCAAAGCCATATTACAAGTATCATTTCTGGAGGAAGTGGTTGCTCTCGAAGACAGCATCATATCGGTTCAACCACCGAGCATGGTGAAGTGTTACATCATATGAGAAGTATAAAAAAACATAAAATGCCTCGCTGATACAATATCACCACACTTTCAGGAAACACACACAGGCATGCTATTCTTTACATTGCAGTATTCATGTTACATGATTATAAGAAGAAACCAACATGTACTTTATGGATATAGTTACCATACTACGGTGCTACTTGTAAATACACTTTACACTACATGAGACAACTGCGAACAGTATATGATTCAGAAACATATTTTGGTAAAAATAAATACATTTATACCAGTAAAACTCATTTTATAGGTTAAATCCGGCAGAAATAGCTCTTTAAGGCATGCAGATTACCACTTTATAAGGTGTGTAGGCCTATATTTTATTATATATAATCTAATAACAATATTATGGCATACATATAAAATGTGACTGGTGTAACAAGGACATTGTAATGTAAAGTATTAGGCACTTTTGTTCTGAATGTCAGGCTCTCTCCAGGGGCTTTCCTGACACACCAGCAGAGCACCTGTGCATTTCTGCAGGAGATGTGCAGCTGAAGCTCTACCTGAACTTCACTGCTGCAAAGCTCCTTACATCCGCGTCTGTCAAATCCAACCCTGTCAATCAGCATCATTCAGCACACGCTGTTTAACAGTAAACCAACACGAGCTGATGGGTGAGCTAATATTTGACCTGCTGATTAAAGCATCTGATTAAAGCAACTTCAATCAGCACTGATTCATTGTGAATTCTAATGCAGCAATAAATTACACGAAATTATACGGGTGAACCTGAAAGCCATGCAAGGTGAAAAAATGAGCAGGCAGAATAACTATAATAACAAAACGCTCAATTCTGATATGAAATCTGATACTTTACCCGACTAACGTGTTTTTTTTTCTTTTCTCAGTACGTGTATTTCTTCAGTCTGTGCTCCACACGCGGTAGATGAGAGGTGCTGACATCGCAGTCACTGAGATTTCGGGAAAACCATTTTGCACAAGTCTTTGCGTCCAGAGACAGAGACAGAGAGAGACAGAAGAAAGCGCAGGCTGTAGGAGGGTTTCGCCCTTTCTCCTTCGTTCCTTCACCCCTGAATATATTCCAGCACGGCTCCCTCGTAAATGTGTCTGCAAACTGCGCGCAAAGCCAGACCGTCCTCCTCCCGTGCCAAGCTCACCTCGCTGGATTCACAGCCATACAGAGAAAGAGAGAGACGTTGTTTGCGGCCAGATTTGCATCCAGCGTGTCCAGCCAGCGCTGGGTCCAGCAAATCAGAAGAATCATAGCGAAAGACTGGAGCGAGAGACTTTATGAACAACAGCGCCTTCTTCTGACACAAGCGCACAACTGGCCGTTATGACTACAGACGGGAATCACGAGGAATTTTACGTTTTTGGCTCCAGTTTCGATCCCCCTTAACGACTCTGGTTCCATTAACGATTTTATTTTATTTTATTTTATTTTATTTTTTACTTCTGCATGAATGAATGAATGAATGAATGAATGAAAAATTGCATTTATTGCCTTCAGAAGTTGTTGCCGAAATGATCGTGATTTAAATAATAATAAAAATAAATAAATAATAAATATAAAATTACTTACCCCAACTTTTGAATGTATCAAGGTTTTCACAAAAATATTAAGCAGCAAAAAACTAATTTCAAATTTGATAATAATATGTTTTGTGAGCAGCAAATCAGCATATTAGAATGATTTCTGAAGGATAATGTGACACAAGTACGGATTAATAGCTGCTGAAAATTCAGCTTTGCATCTGAGGAATAAATTACATTTTAATAAATATTTAAACAAAAAGCAGTTATTTAAAATTGTAATAATATTTCAAAATATTTCTATTTTTAATCTAGTTTTGATCAAATAAATGCAGCCTTAGTGATCAGAAGAGACTTCAGTTTGCATATACATAAATAAATATATAACTTTTACCTGTTAGTGTATATATGTATTATATATGCGCACACACACACACACACACACACACACACAGACATTTTCTTAATCAGTATTTGTCTTGTTTTCCAGAATAAATATCTAAGTATCTCTAAAACATTCATTTTAAATGAAAAATAAAATATTACGCCTTGTTTTCAGCGCAATCAAATAATATTTAATGATATTTATGCTTTGCCAATGGGGAAGGAAAAATAAACATGTTTTCCCTTTGAATTATGTTTACTTTTTCTTACCCCTTTGGCAAATAATTATTTATTTGAAAAAAAAAAAGTCTTAATATTGCATGTCATTTTGCTTCTCAAGTAAATACATAAATGTATTTTGTTTTAAGGATGTTTAAATATTTATCCTGGAAAAGTATGATTTTTATTTTTTTGGCTGCATAATTAGTCAGTTTAGGTGTTTCCACATGAATCCCATTTTTAGGATACCTCCCAAAACATTTGTAGCATGGGCATTGCACTGAATATGCTGATCTTGTCAGGAAACTTTCATTCAACATAAAAAAACTGACTGACATGCTTTATCTCTGACACCTGCAGCACAGAGCACGCTGAACTTGTTATGTGAAACATGACAGGCTTGCAGTTATGTTCAATGCCTTGAGAAAGATTACATATCTGAGTGTGCTCCAATTGACCTTGAAACAAGACTATCCCATTCAAGAACAAATGACATGACTCTATGGGTGCCACCATTCCTCAAGTGCAGTTGGACCTGGTGCCAAAAGTGTCATTAGGTCTCTGCGATTGAACTTTTCAACTGGTTTGATCTCCCCACTGTTACACTATTCTAGAAGGGTTAACAAGCTTTACTAGCAGACGTTATTCAGGTCTCTGCAATAAACAAGCCCCTTCATCTCAGCACGCGCACAAACCTATAATTCAAGGAGGAGAGCGACTTTCTGCTTTTTGTTTGTGCGTCAGTCAAGAACTTCTATAAAAACATCACTGTCTATAAGCACAGACCCCACAGGGCTACACTGGAGCATAAAACACACCCACGTTAGCTCACAAAAAGAAAACACTGCGTTTTATTAGCACTTCCCAGACATATCCTTCCATATCACCCCATTATAATTGTTGTTGGAAATAAATCTATGAACAAGACCGGAAGATTAGATGATCTTTGGAAAGGTCGAACGGCGCTCATCTGGGTGTTGAGAACAGGTCAATTCCAGAGACAAACCCCAGTAAAATAAGCTTTCTTTATTAAAGCCGAAGCCGTGTTCTTCCCCACTGCCATTAAACACACATTAATCGTGCTTACTTCAGCCCTGGATACTTTAACACAGCCCAGCCATCATTAATAACGCTCCATCCAGTACCGCGTTGACATTCCTTTAATTATCTCGGTAATTTATTCATGTACTGTTTCAGTGGCGCTTGTTGTGCGAAACTGCCTGCGAGGAATATTTCACTCAAGCCTCTTCAAGAGACAGGATTAACTATGCTAATGAGGAAGCTGGGAGGCATGACTGCTATTTGTGCGTTTAAACCGGGAAGCCATTAGGCCCCCGATACATGCGTGCCAATTGACACAGGTTTGAGTTTGTTACTGTATCAGAAATAGTTTGAGCATTATATTTGTGTGACTGGGAGGTAATTTTTGTCACATATTTTAGTTTGTTGAGTAAACACTTTGAGCTTTGCACTTACATTTACATTAATGTCGTCTGATCACTGCTCCTTTCACACTACACGACTGTTTTGGGTATCATGAAGTTGCTGTGGTTTGCACATTACATGGAAGATTAGCGACTGAAGGTCACACATTACACAATATTTCACTGATAACTTTGTCTCATTTACAAAACGCATGTGCAAGAAGTGATACTAAGTGATATTTTCCCTTGCCCTGTGTCTTACTCTCTCATTGGCTGTAGGTTGTCACTGATGTAATTTCCTGTCAAAACACATTTCACACTGCAAGACTCTCTATGTAGCTGCATCCAAAATAGCATAGTTCACTATATAGTACGCGGAAAACAGTATGTGACAAGAGAAGTGTGCTCGAATTCATAGTCATAAAAGAGAAGGCAAAAACTACTCCCAGCGTGATTCTGAAGTGTGCATAGGATGGACACTTTATTATCCCATGAGGCCACGGGAGAGGATTTATGAATGGCATAAAGGAGCGTGGCCCGATTCAAGGCTTGTCGCAAACTATTTTTTTGTCCAAAAAGTCCTCTATTGTGTGGTGTCATTACGATTATTTAACTGCTCCCGATCGAAACGGAGCGTCCACAAACTCAAATCGTAAATATCAAACGTTTGATATTTACGACTCTTGATCAGCCTGCCTCTGACATGATACCCGCGATAGCCAATGAGATTGAGCAAGCATCAACCTACTGGATGTTGTGTGCTTCTATAGCTGGAACTAGGTAGCCACTAACATGCTAAAACTTAAGTAAAAATAGAGATACCTTAAGGTGAAAATTACTCCTTTACAACTTATAAAGTAACCAATTCCAATAACACTTCAGCAAAAGTATTCGATTAGAGTAGTAGGCTATCCTATTTTACAGTGGTGGGCCGTCAGGGCCAGCAAAGCCTTCTCTGCTGGCCTAAACACTATCAGAATCACTGATTTAGTTTTAATATATTTTTCCATGAATGTGTAGTTAGGTTAATGCGTCAGCTACAGATGATGTGTCGCGCAATTGTTAACTGGGTTTGTTTCTTTAGTAATGGCATTCATTCTCGCTACATAAGATACCTGTCTGTTATGTAGTGCCCTGTTATACTGCATTACTGTGTAATATTTATGGTTTCTATAGCCGTGGCATCATTATGATGGTATGAAGAGATGGATTAATTCATGTAGGACACCACTGAAGGCCTAGGTGTAAAATGCACGGCCCGCCACTGCTATTTTAACAGTACTTAAGTATTTTACGCATACTGAATGTAGGCTCAAAGATGCACTAGTCCTCAACACCAAAGAGACATGCAAGTGAAAAACAAGAAATAGTTGATTTATGAGGATTTAATACAATAGAAATAACACCTCAATACTGCAATAAAGTCAACACAGCAGCCTCTTAAACAGTCAAGTCTCAATTAAACTCAAGTACTCAAAAAGGGCATGAGCAAACCAATATCAAAAACCTCTCTTCAGTATAACATATAAATAAAATAATATGAAGTAAAACAGTCAAAGCCTACTTGCACTTGATGTTCTGATTTGGGCCTCATGACTAGGCCTCATGTCTTCATCTCACATATAAAACACCTGCGATTCAGCAACTAGCTGCTAATGCACACACAAACTTCTTTTGTAGCAGAAATAAACTGCTGTAGAAAAAGTTAGGTGTCATGTAATGGTATGAGTAAAGAATACCAATATGAAAATGTAGTCAAGTAGAAAGTAAAAGTTGCTAATATCCTAGATACTCAGTCAAATTACAAAGTTACCAAAAAGATACTTAAGTAACTTGAAGAGTGGAGTGGGTTTATTTTCTTTAAAGATGAATGGTTTTTGCAAATACAACCATAACCATTGACATCGCTACAAAATACAGCAACAACTGCAGCATTCTGTAGTTCAATCCCATCAAATCCAGTTTGCAGCAGTGTGTGCCAAGTGCCATAATAACTGGAATGGAGCTCAGCTTAGTCTATGTGTAATTACCCTCTCTTGCCTTTAGCTTAAGTTTACTTACGTGCTGTCAAGAGAAGCATATCTATGAAGGCAATAACAGCTCCTGGCAAGACTGTCAAACCATCTGGCGTAGAGAACAGGGTGACAAAAACAAATGCAGACAGGGACTTGGTCTTCATCCAGTTTGGAAGGCATAGAGAGAAACCTCCGCACTCCAGGCAACGCTTACTCAGCATCACTAAAGGAAATGCACGTAAGGCCAACACCGTGCAACATTAACCATACATCTAATTTTTGTTATTCTTCTCTGAGGTGATGACCATAGGAGGCCAATTACTCGTGGAACCCACAACTATCTATTTGTACTCGCCGAGGG